ATTTTTCCAAACAACCGTAATGATCCTATAAATCTTGGTATATACATGTTAAGAATAATTAAGAAAGAAATAATATTAGCAGTCTCTTTTAATTAATGCATAACGGAATTCTCCGGGGATCTTTTTCTTTTGCAAACGTTTTCGACGTCCAAGGCGGGGGAAAAGATTAATCGTCGCGCGAGATAAATCCGGCTTCCCTTCCGGTAGCGTCTGCGAAATTAATCTCGGCGACATTTGACTATTTAATAGGACGCGCTGCATATTCTCCGCCGTTGTGTCTCGCAATATATTAATACTACAATATAAATTCGACCGGGAGGGAAGTTCATCCCTGAATCGTCGGAATTTTCTACATCAACTCGCGCCACTGCGTACCTACGCCGTGTTTAATAGCTGTTCTACGTCCACTGCAAGTATGCGACTGTCTGACAACTCCGCGTTTTACCGTATCACGGCATTTATTACAACGCGAAAGAAATTGACGTCGTAATTTTTTTATTTCAATGTTCGAGGGAATCTGAAAACAATATCTAATACGTGTACTTTTCTTCCTAAAAATATATCGAATTTCGAACTAACGTTGACTGCCACAGTTTTGGCATTTTAACAGTGGAAACTGTGGAAATTGAAATGATTTAACGAAAACTGTTGTATTATAATGTGGCCTGGTATGCTAAGCAGTAGAGAGATGTTGTGTACGCTTTATTCAGGCTTTCTGCTCAAAGCACACGAGGCATCTTTCATCTCGAGTTTCGCAATGAATTCAGAGTAATAAATCCTTTTCGGTGTAGCCACCCTTTGCCACGCAGAAACGAATACACAAAATACGTATAATGTATTCAGAACGAGTAAATGAGAAACGTCAGAAACAATTTTTCTTTACTAATTCAGTTGGTCTCATCTAATGACTGTGTGACGGATTTGATCTCGACGACTCAATAAATTCCGTCTCTGTTTAAATTTAATTGCAAATATTCGGTATCTGTTGAACACGAACTTAATTTATTTCTGATATACCGAATTAAAACTTGTATCAAATACAAGCTCTGTTTGCATAGCCGAACTATCCCGCTTTAGATTGCTACCACTTTGAGGTGGCTTTATTCGGTTCACTGCAGGAAATGAAATAACCATGTATGCAAATTTGATTTCGAGTTTGTCGATGAAGTGATGCGCCTACATGTGTTGCCGGGATTTGCATTGAAGCAAATTCGTGCGGTCCGTCGCAACCAATTGTGAAATATTCTTTGAATCACGTTTATCATTTATCGTAGAAATAGAAGATACCGTTTGTTACATTTACGGGTGAACCCTCACAAGGAATGTGATAACATTTCTTTCTCATTGGTCTATAAAATGCATACAAGACTTCAATAGAAGATTGCACTTGCTAACAGTTGGACACAAAAAAAAAGAATATGTTAAGATTTCTTTATCATTTTTCAACAGAATGTGTAGAATAAAAATAAAAATGAAAGAATATCCGTTTTGGATCAGACTGTACAGTCTGCAGTGTATGGGAACGTTCAGGCGAGACTCTCTCGAGTAACGACACGCGCCCACGGGATATTAGCGGTGTAACAAGTATTAATGACTCACCTGTGGCTGAGGGACGCAGGTTAGATCTATGATGTCACCCAACAGGTCGGGATCCATTACTCTAATACCCGGAAGAATCGTCGAGCCGACTGGGAGGTCCTCCTCGGCCACGGTCTCGTACGGTACGTTCAGAAAACGGGGAGGATTATCGTTTTCGTCGAGGACGATCACGTATGCGTCCACCCCGACGATGTTCGGTTGCTGACCCGTCGGCACTTCATCTTCTAACGTCACGCGAAACCGTATCGTATCGTTCTCCTGGAACCGACAAATAATAACCAGGATTAGCCAAATCTGTTGAGTTCTGGTTGCCAAATTACTCCCACGAATATTACGTGTGCATAAAGAACAAAGTAACGTCGGATTAATTCGAAGAAAGTTTCTAGGCGATAATTACAACTGAGCATAGATTCGTGTTTTAAAATTATTTTCTTGTCGCGTAACTTTATACAACGAACATTAATTGAGTAAAAAACGAGGCTCATTAAAACTCGGGGGACGGCTTGCCACTGCGGGAAATAACATCCTGGTGGAGAACTTTTTAAGTTTAACGAATATACTTTCCCGACTGGTGCATCGGAACGAACGTCCTTAATTTGCGTTCCGTTAAGCGGCGTGCTTGTGTTTCACGGTCCTACGGCATGTTGATGATATTTTTTTAAACAGCTCCCTTCGCTGGTTAATCTAGCTAAAACAAGTGTCGCCGCTGGATTTACATATTCCTTCATATAAGAAATTACATTAATCAAATCCCGTGGAAAACACTAGAGGTTCTTTACGCGTTGGCGAACATTATTTGCATGTTGCTAAAAACTGGAGCAAAACGACCGGTTTCTCGCCACTTGGCGCAAGCTTGCGGCGGAACAGGAAGTAAAAAAAAAAAAAAAGGGGGAGAAACGTGCAATCCGACGTAATGACTGCAATTTAACAGGAGGTCAAGGATCCGAGTACACCGTGCGGTCTTATCATACGTGCGTCGCACACTCTGCTAATACACGAAACCACCTGACAAGCACAGTAATTTTAGCTTGACGGACCAGAAAAGAACTTCCTTTTCCGTCCGGCGACATTTGCTCGTTCTTCAACGCTATTTCTCAGTCCATTTGTAAGGAGGTCCACGTCTCCTACGATTCATTCTGACTACGAGCACGAAATCTGGCACACACGTCGACTCGAGATCACCTACAGAATATTCTAATCACAGGACGAACACGACCTCGCATATTTATTATTAATAAAAAACGAAAAATCGTCGACGATGTTTTGATATGAAAGTATGAAAGCAACTGTCACTGAAAATGTGACTGGCGATTCCCAGCTACCCACGTTTCTCCTTTTCCGTTGTACGTGGTTCTGTTCTCAGATAATTCTCCGTTTATTCTTGAATTTCCTGTCAGCTGCAGACAGGGAAACGGGACACAGCGTGGCCGCTTTTAAGGCGACACAATGCGCGACCCGCTCTCGCTTTCGTGCCGTCTCGTCGTGTATCACAAGTACGTGCACAGAATCGCGGCTCGTCGGTCCAACGGAACCCCGACAAGGCACCTCTAATTTCGGCCGCTCTTGCTCTTTTATTTGCCGCGTTTCACCGAACAAACAACATCCACGCAGACCGTCGATTCATCTTTGAAACTGAAGAACTGGGCTCGAAACGGAAGAATCGAGAGACACAGAAACGAGCGAGCAAGGTCAATTGTGATTTAATACTGTAACCGTACCAAGGGTGCTAAGCTACGTTACATAGGAAATTAAGAATGTTCACCCTGATTGCCTAATCGAACTTCCACACGAATAAATTCAGTTACAATATTAAATAAATGAATCAACTGTGCATCTTTAGATTAGAGAAAGCATAAAAATTGTACTTCTGTAGCTACTCGAGAAAACAAGTGCGATGCTCCGAGTCTGGACGAAATAGCGAGGAGCGACTCTTTGGAGAACGGCTGGTCTTTTAAACCTCGAAGCTCGCTATGAGTTTAATGAGCTGCGGAGGAGCATGGCTACTGCAGCCAGCTAGAATATTGGAAGTTTAGTACTCGTGTCCTTAAAGATATTCCACAATTCATGGGTACACGTAGTAATTTCACTGAAACCTAATGACTTCTATAACTTAGAAATTAATGAAGGAAATGTAGAACAGTTTTGCGAATGCTTTCAAACTCGGGTAACATTGAAAATCTATCTGGTTTGGAACCATTACATAATCTACAAGCCAAACGAGTGTTGGCTTTATTATACAGTTGTTGCACTTCTTTACAACTGTACTAACAGGTTCCTGTATGTTTTATGCAACGTTGGGTATAAACTAACTACGAAGTTGTAACTTGAATAGGAAGAGAGTAAGGGAAATAGTATAATACTTTTATCAAGTTGACTAAGTAGTTTTACAAGTTTCGTTGTATACCAACGTTCTTTATTACTTAAGTTAGATAAAGGTAGCCTCCTGCTTTCCTTACTATCCTTGACTCATACTTGCATATTTGGTCTTATCTTCGAAATCTGTATCAGTAGTATTATTTGTGAACCTTTTCCTAGCATAATTGTTTAATCTTGTCTTCACATCACTCCCTACTCTGACTTCCTGATACCAGACTGCCCTGACAACTTCTCTATTCCCTAATATTCCTGCTCTCTCCTCCATCCTAATCCTCATCTGCACCATTCAAACCCAAATTATTTATATATTTTATTCTGCTTTCCCTCAATTTGGTACATTTTATCTTCACGACAAATCTAAATGAAACTATAGTCTTCCCTCAAAAGATTTCACTGTTTATGTGTTATCGCATAAATTGTACTATTTTTAATAAAGAATAAATTAACGAGACACGACACAATCTCTTGTAATTATAATTTCACCGAAAAGTTATTTGATGTCGAAGTTTCAATTCCCCGTTAAATCGACCTGGACACCGACGCATAGATTAATAAGCAAATGGGGAAACGAAACACGGGCTTTGGACATGTCGCCCGATTGGAGTTTCGACGGAAGAACCCGGTAACGTTGCGGTTTTCATTAGCAGCGTATCGGGAAATCGTCATCACGGCATCAGGTAATTAACCGGTAGCTATAATGAGAACGTCATAAATGATTCATCGTCGGACTTCTGGTCAACGCGTCGAGTCTGTGCGCGGGGACAAAGGGAATTGTAGTTCCTACCAAAATGCGAACCACGTTTGCGGGCCTTTTTCGGTCTCTTGCAGTCGCGTCGCTCGTTCCCATCGTCGATCTCATCAATGCAATTGCGGTGGCCCCACATGCGGCACGTAGAATCTATAAACTGTGCGAACGCACGGTACCGCTCTCATTTGCATCGCGAGCATTCGCATGTGTCGCCCGTCGGCCACGGACTATATACAAAATTCTATCCGATTGATAAATAAACGTTTTAGAAAAGGCACGCGGCTCCCGACTGCCCAAATGAAATAATTCGGTCTACCGTTTGTTACGCTGTCTCTCGTTAGGATACAGACGTCGCGTCGCGTCCGTTCGGTCTATCGCGTCTCTCGGAACGGTAAACAATAGTCGAGATTTGCGTATTCCAATTTACGGAACGGTCGACACAATTCGTTACTCGGCCCCTTGTGTCGAACTTTTCTATCGCGCCGTACCGAGATCCCGATAAACCGAGGGAGTAACGATCCTTTTTTGTCCGAGTTGGTACGCGGCCAACTCTCGGCGACGTTAATTATTTAGGACGTCCGTGGCATTGGAAAATTATTTGTGGCACCGGGTCGTTTATTGGAAGTTCGCAAGAACGTAGAACGGAGAAAACAATTTCGCGAGTAGCGGAAGAGATCCCACGATGAATTATAATGCGGCCCGTGCCATAAAAGGTGGCAGACCGTGACAAAGGCGATTTCCAGAAGCGAAGGGAATAAAAAGAAAAAAAGATATGCGTACATACGTACGAACGTTCTACATCTCCTTTTTACTCGACTGCGATATTTCCGTCGTTCTTATTGCAGTTACACGGCAATTTAATAGACTGGAGAAGGAACTTTTTTTTATAAGTACTCCAACTATTTTTTGTTATATGGACCGTTCGATTATTTATTTAATGCCTGAATCTGTAAAAGCGCAATTCATTCAACGATCCCGTATTTCATGCTTCTTTTCACCCTCGAACCTTAATGGCAAACTGAACGCACACTAGTTATAACTTACAGCGTCAATAGCCAGCTAATGCGCTCGTATAACGTAATTTGGTAATCGCGTAGCTAACACTTTGCGATGCAAAGTGAACTCTAAATGTAATTATCACTACATAAGTAGTGTATAAATTCTACACGCGATTTCCGATCAAATAAATGATTAACGATATTCAGAAGATTAATTGAATGCACTGCTGCTAGGGCCCAGTGATTAATCTGTTTCGTAAAATAAAGTGAGACTGGACTTCGTTCGCAGGATATCTTTTTTATTATTTTCATCGCTTCCACGTATGAAATAACATGCAAAAAAAATCTTTCTGCTGCCATTCGTTGAATTATTAATAGTTCCGAAATTTTCACGAGTTTTCTAACGTTCAGCATAAAATTGGCTGAACGTCAGCGATATTTTGGAAAATTTTAATTCATTACGACGGAAATAGATCTTGATTAATAAAAAGTTTCCCAGAAACGAAGTTTAATCTAGAGTAAATGTAATTAAGTACGTTACTGACGGATGATTCTTTCTTACGTAACCGCGTATGCGGAACCAATTATTCACTGCTTGAAATTCATGGCGACCTGGATTAAAATTTATGCGTGAGGCGCGATAGTCCCGCGAGAACTTTATGACGGCGTTTCGGGAGAACGTATTTTCATTACGTTTTCAACCGGCACGGCTACGGCGCGACCCTTCTCACTCGCTATAGTAGACCGATACAAGATCGGCTCTCATTATTTAACACCGCGGCGCAATATTGGATAGCTTTGTGGGAAAATCATCGTGGCAAAATCACGGCCGCTCGGCTCCATTCTCCCGAGCCAGAGCAAACAATACTTGACGATTCGCGTTGCAATCTGCCGGACAAAGGCCCGACCGACTCCTAGGCGCGCTTTTATTGCCGGTTCAGTCGCCGCTAGAGACCGTCGACCATGAATGAACCGTGCCCTTCCCTTTCCCATTCTAGTCCCTCTTTCCAGATTTACAGGTTGAATAAGATTTGGAGAAATGTACCATAAAGGATATTTAACATTTTTCAAGTATTAATTAGTTAAGCTACTCCACTGTGACTCATCGAGAAAATGTTATTTTTCTGTAATTTTTT